GAAGTCAATAAAAAATAGGCGAGATAGGTTGGTAGGACACCTTCTCAGGCATGAAGGTCTAGTCAGAGACATATTAGAGGCAGAAACGGGAGTTAGGAGGGGTAGAGATAGACGTAGATTAGTTTACTGTTCGCAAATAGTTAAGGATGTGGGCTGTTCTAGTTTTAGGGAAATGCGAAGTTTAGCTCAGGATAGGAAAGAGTGGAGGTACGTGTCCAACCAGTCTTAGGACTGACGACTTTATGATGATGATAAATAAAAGCTTTGGTTACATAAGAATACTCCAAGCTAAATTTATAAATATTCATGTTGTGGGCGCGATTTTCAAGTAGTATGTATTAATTGATTGTAAATCCCTGTTTCGATTTTCATCTCGTGTTTCGTTTTTGTCGGGTACCATGTTGATAGGATGGGACATGCACGCTTACAAAGGTGCATTTAATGCAACGCTCGAAGCGCACTAAATTCAAGATTAATTAGAGCGCACTAATACTGCTAATTGAAATGGGCGGAGCTACACAACCGTCCAATACCAAAATATTTGATCAGCTCTGCATTAATTATTATTGCTACTTGATAATCTCTTGTATCGTTCTGCGTGTATCTGTTAACAATGAGAACTGCATTAATGTCCTTAAGGATAATTAAAATATATCATAATATTTCTGTGATATATCAGTTAAATATTATGTGTATCATTTGACTACGCTGCCTTTGATTCTACACGTGTTTTATATGTGAAATTAATGAAAAAAGAATTGTTCTTGCTTCACGCCCTCGCCGGGAATCGAACTCTGGTCTCTCGTTTTATACACCGTTGCTCTACGATTAAGCTACGAAAGGTTACAGTAGCAACAATGACGATATGTGTTTAACTATAATGCGTAGGTCGCAGAATCGTCTAACCAATGTATAATCATTATTAACAATGAAACAAGATTTTTTGTAGGATTACAGTAGTTCGTAGGGTTTCATGGCTAGTGTCTAATTGACGATAAAGAGCTTCATGGCTTTTCTGCCTGAATTGAGCCGCCAATCATACATCGTGTAGCACTGAAGATGCCATCTATTAATCATGGCGAAACGACTGCAATCAAAATTCGACCGCGACAGAAAAACCCAGAAGCTCTTCATCATTAATTTTGTAGGGTTATTTTCCATGTATATTAGTGTTTATAGATTTTACCATTACAGATAACTAAGATTATCTGTGGCGGTAACGAAAAATTCTTCTAAATGTCTCGAATGTTTCTTTGTTTGTTTCAGAAAAGGAGGTCTCTTGCTCAACAACATATTAGGTGTAGGTGGATCGTGTTTGATGGGCTTTACGAAAATAGCCTCGTCATATGAAATGCTCATCATAGGAAGATTCATTTTAGGAGTCAATTGCGGTAAGTACTGAGTCGTAATTAAAGAGGGACAATAAGGACTTCATATTTCTTAGAGTTTAGTAGCCAAATGGCTAAAACAAAATTACTCAAATGAGTATTCAGTAGTCTATTTTTGGCTCAAGCGATAAATGTAGTACTAGTTCTTACCAAAAGAACTTGTTTGAATCCCATCAGCTACTAATGCCAGTTGACGGGCAGAAATGGTTAAATCGACCAAGATCAAGATTGTGTCAGTCTTGGTATTGGTATTTGTATTGGTCTTGCTTTTTCGGTCTTTGTCTTGACCTTGATGTTGCATAAATACTTCTAGTCTTTCTCTTGATCTTGCGTGTTACGATCTTGATCTTTTAATCTTAACTATCATAATATATGTCTTAAATGCTGAAATATTCTGTCATACATGCGAGCTTGTTATGACTTTTAAAGAAAACAGTGTCGATAGTTGTGAGAGTTATGAAAACTCAAGAATTTACCCTTTGTCGAACGCATAAATTGACCTTTTAGCAAAAAAATAGTACAAGGCATTTGGAAGCTATTAAGTACATCAAATGCAGACATCTAAACAATGAGTACAAACAAACCTTCAATCAGTTTACCTCCTCAAAACGCCTTCCGCGTGAACCGATAGAATCCTTAAGCAATTTGCTAATTTAAACAGGGTTAATTAATTCTCAAATTAACCTTTGTAGTCTCTGTTGTAGTACCGTAATTTCAAGTAATATCGATCTCGCAAATGACCCATTCCGTCGCAACTAAGAACACTTCTGGTATTAATTCGATGTCGATGTCCTTGTCCGCTTTCGCGCCCGAGACCAACCTCTTAATCTTAACGATTACCACTCGTAGTCCTTATGGTTTAAGCTGCTACGTGTTTGAACGCCTAAATTTGTAACAATTCGATGATTTAGTTAGTTTTGCAGACGGGTCTAATTCCTTCTCATATTGATTACATTTACTTTCTTTTAATCCTAATAGAAATATCTAATCAAGGTGGAAATTTAAGTGGCTAGTAGAACAGGCCTACCATAGAAATATTTTCAGTTTATTTGCCTGGGTACCATTTGGTAGAGAAGATTAAGCATTCCGGTTTTTGGATTAAAAAAAAGCTTTTGGGTGTTTCATTCCCACCAGCCAGTAATGCTGGTGGGCGGGCAGTCCCTCCGGACTATGCCGGAAGGTAGGGCGGAAAGCCCCCTTCAGTCTCCTTTCAGGAATCGTGGGAATGGGTGGGTGGTGGTTCGGTTGAGAAAGATGAGACGGACGAAATGAACACAGAAGAGAATGAAAGATTATTATCTGTGGAATATTTCTGCCTAAGTGATCCAAGGAAACCACAGAAAAACTTGGACCAAGGCAGTCGGACTTAACCTCTAGGCCATGCCGCTCGGTATTTTTGGGTTAAGGTTTCGGAATCCAAATGGATTGAGTTGAACAGCTTATATATAATTCTATTGAGTATAAATTTGTTTAGTGGAAGTTTGGAAAATCCATCAAAGAAATTAGAAAATCGTTAAAACGTTTCTATCTTTTCGCCTATTTTTCTGTCTTTTAAAGTATGTGTGAATCTATTTAATTATGCAATTCACGTTTTTTTTTGTTGCTGAACCTTGTGGGAGGTCTATTTTGGAAACACAGGAAGTAATACCGTAATCATTTTGATTGTTCGGTTTTGTCCCACTCAAAACCACCACCAGCCATTTCCACGATTTCTGAACTATCCATCACTTTAATTCTAAGCTAATTTCGGTGGGATAGTCAACCCAGTAGAGTAGCCATTGCTAGTACCTGATAGGAATTATATACAATAGTATTTTGATCACCTATTTTGACCTTATTGCTATCTGCCGTTCTTCTTATGTTGGTATGTTTCGTTCCAGGGCTCAATACGTCTTTAGTCCCTATGTACATTTCGGAAATAGCGCCTTTAAACCTGCGCGGCGGTTTGGGCACAGTGAACCAGTTGGGCGTAACGCTCGGCCTCCTGATATCCCAGGTTTTGGGTATCGAACAACTGTTGGGCACGAACGACGGCTGGCCTTATCTTCTGGGACTCGCGATATGTCCTGCGATCCTGCAACTCGTCCTTTTGCCGGTGTGTCCGGAAAGTCCTCGGTACCTTTTGATCACGAAACAGTGGGAAGAAGAAAGCAGACGCGCACTGAGAAGGCTGCGAGCGAATAATCAAGTGGAGGAGGACATCGAGGAGATGAGGGCCGAGCAAAGAGCGCAACAGTCGGAAGCCTCAATCAGCATGATGGAACTTATATGTTCGCCTACGCTCAGGGCGCCTCTTATTATTGGCGTCGTCATGCAATTGTCGCAACAACTCAGTGGCATCAATGCGGTAAGTCTTTCTTATGAAGATTTCTAATTAATGAGGATAAAGTAGCGGCCCATGATGATATGAAGTGCAAATGTTTGTATGAATAGTATCCAAGTAGAGTTACTCTTTCGCTATCTGGTTGGTATTTGCTGGTACTCAAGTTTACCGTGTTTCGAAGGTTAACTCAATCTTAGAAACCTTCTAGTTGATGCTTTGGATTTTTAATATAATTAGAAAAAGCGTTCAAAAAATACTGATTGTTCTTCTTGATTTTTGTTCTAATATTTTTTTTGTTTCCTTTAATGTTTCGTCGGTAAATGTCAAGATGATGGGTGGGATCGAAAGAGGGGTCTCCCCCACCACTGTACCATAAAAGTTCGTGGCGGTTTCACCCCCATAAAAAGTTGTGGGGGTTAGATGATGACCCCGAAGGGGGTGGGGGTAGGGAGATCGACAGTGGGTGGTCATGTGAGTTTCAACCCCATAAAAAAATTGCGGTGGTCTCACCCCGATAAAAAGTTATGGGGGTTGAAAGTTGATTATTTTGACAATTTTCATACACTATAATAATACCAATAAAATTCAATAAAAAAATTATTTTCAAGCGGGTGGAGGTGGGGGATCGAAAGAGGGTGGTCACTTGAACAAAACCCGATAACCTAACCTAACCTACCCTATTGATAAAGATATTTAAATAATGTTTTATATAACCTTCTCAATATTTTTATGTATTTTTCATTTATCTTTGAATATTGTTTAGAAATGACTATATAAATATTTACATGCCTAGAAATGTATGAGACCGCCACTTTTTATGGTACAGTGGTGGGGGAGACCTCCTCTTTCGACCCCCCCACCTCCCAAGGGGGTGGGGGCCATCATCTGGACCTTTACCGTTTCGTCTAAATAATTTTATATTGTTGATGGCACTCACAAATAATGATTTTTGTATGCATATATGGATTATTGATTTCAAGGACCATACTTGAAATGAACTTTTTCATCAACATCATCACAAGGGCGGTGTCAGTTAGTGTAAAACCCTGAGAATAAAATTCGGTCGGCAATTGACGTTTCTGTACAAGCATATCATCGTGGAGCAATTGTTTTAAGAATATTAATTTAATTTGCCTTTTGTCTTTCAGGTTTTGTATTACTCCACGAGTCTCTTTTTGAGTTCCGGTCTTTCCGAAGAGAGTGCAAAGTTCTCCACGATTGGAATCGGCGCCATCATGACCATTATGACATTGGTGTCCATACCGTTAATGGACAGAACGGGCCGAAGGACTCTCCATCTCTATGGATTGGGAGGAATGTTCATCTTCTCCATCTTCATTACCATCTCATTTCTTATAAAGGTTTGTTGCCAACTCTTTTTATTTGTCTCTCGCTTTTTTTCTCTCTCTGTCTTTGTCAAATTGGTGATGGGGACTACGTATGTATTTGGACATGGTGAGTCATCCTGTTTAGTTTTAAGGAAATGATAAACCACATCCTATCAATAAAAATAAGATTTTAATGGTATTTCATACTAGGTGATATATTTTGTTTTTTTGTATCTTTTCTGTTAATTAAAAGACGAGGAAATCCATTTGTCTCTGAACAACTCCATCTACAACTGTGTAATTGCATTTTCATTGAGGAAAACTTTTTAAATACATTTTACAAAGTTCCTTTTGTTGAGATAGTAGGACAAGCCATTAAAATTCATAACGCAATGTTGTCTAAAAATTAAACAAACATATTTATACTTTGGGATTCGAGTTAGCAGTTGTTATGCACTCAAATGTGCGAATTTTATAATGTTAGTGTTAATTGAGTGAAAATTTTATCTATTTTAAATTGCAAGGTTTATTAATACAACAAATCAAGATAAATAAATAATTATCCATTTGTGTTTAGATAAAATATTATCATTTAATAAAATTCAGGTACTTAACCGTTTCGAACAAATTTAAATTGTTTATTAATGATTACACCTTTGTGTAAAAAAATTAAACAATTATTTGGAATTTAGAATCTTGCCGTTGTTTGATTTAAAATACGTTATGACTAAGGCTATAGGAAGACTTAATTGTTTACGCAAGCGCCTCTAATTTTAAGTGTTTTATTCGGGAAAATCCCCTCTAAATTCGGAAAATTGTGCAGAATAGTTACCTTTGCCTTTTCCTATATCAGCCAATTATCGATACCATTGGGCCATTTCCGTAAATTGATAGAATTGTATAATATAGAGTACTATTCCTCTGCTCTTACGTAAATTTCCGAGTTTAGAGAAAATTTACTTAAAAAAGATAAATCCACCGAATTTGCGTAACGGTTAAAATAACGGAGGATTTTCAATGTAGTGGCATTAAGTTTGCCGGTGGGCATTCAGCCACTTCCATTTAAATTAAGTACTTACTAGAATGTTGTTATTTCGAAAACGAAATATTTCGGAATAACAACACTACCTACCAAAAATTAGAACTAGGTATGTAGATAATTTTTGTTTATAAAACTCCTGCATGTTTTTCATTAATTTGCAATATTCCTGCTTTAAAGGATTTTCGTCGAGACATCTCAAATTATTTATGTACGATAATTGGAAAAATAATATGAAAATTTAAAAAAAAGATAGGTAGATTTTGTTGTTTTCAAAATTATTTGCAAATTCGTAATTTATTAGATATTGTTTTAATTTATTGTAAACATGACAAAACATCGTTTAGGGCCCAGAAAAATAATTACATTTTATTAAATACTGTTACACAGGCCATCTTTTTAATCACATTTTTTCGATATTTGACTAGATATAACATTTAAAATATTGGGGTTTTTATCTTTTTGTGTTTTTATTTCATACATGTGCTCTTGCTTGAACCCAGACCGCTTTTTATAACCCCTTTCCCTTTGAATTCCAACTTTCCTGACAATCTGGAGGAGGGCGCTCTGTAGACCCCGCAATCGGCACTCATTTTATCACTCACACACAAACACACTCATAGCACCATCACTTTTGCATGCTTCTTAAAATAAACATATGTACATAATACGAAAGTGTTTAAGATCTTAATATTCAGAATACCATTACTAATTTGGATTGAAAAATTTGTTTAGGTATTTTTAGTGAAAAATTTAAATTGGTTAATTAGGCCGAAGAAGACTGTAAATAATGGCCAAAACGTTGGTTGTAGTGTACCCAATAGTTCAAATTAAAAAAATGATAAACTTATGTAGGTAGTTAAATTTCTTAAACGGTAAAATTTCAAATCCCGCGATGATTAATAGATGGCGTTCTCTGCCCTTTCTGTACTCATTTATTGAACGCTGTTTAATAGCAGTAAGTAGGTTCGTCGGAGCAATCCGCAGTACGGGTGCGAAACGGCGGAAAAGAAAAGGTTAAAAGCGTTCGAAATATGGTGTTACAAGCGAATGATGAGGATACAGAAGGTTAGAAATGAATAGGTATTAGAAAGAATAGGAGAACAGAAGACCGAGTGGCATGGCCTAGAGGTCTAGACCATTGCTTAGCATTCGGGAGGACGCCGGTTCGATTCCGGGTCCGTCTGCCTTGGTCCAAGTTTTTCTGTGGTTTCCTTGGATCACTTAGGCAAATGCTGAGGCAGTAATATTCCACAGATAATCTTTCATTCTCTTCTGTCTTCATTTCGTCCGTCTCATGTTTCTCACCCAAACCACCACCCACCCATTCCCACGATTCCGGAACGGAGGCTGAAGAGGGCCTTCCGCCCTACCTTCCGGCGTAGTCCGGAGGGACTGCCCGCCCACCAGCATTACTGGCTGGTAGGAATGAAACACCCAAAAGTTTTTTTTTTTCGGATCAAGCCGGTTACGGGTGCGAAACGGCGGAAAATAAGAGGTAAGAAGCGTTCGAAATGTGGTGTTACAAGCGAATGATGAGGATACAGAAGGTTAGAAATGAAGAGATATTAGAAAGAATAGGAGAACAGAAGACTCTATGGAAGTTTATAAGAAATAGGCGAGATGGGTTGGTAGGACACCTTCTCAAGCATGAAGGTCTAGTCAGAAACAGATTAAAGTTAGAAACGGGCGTTAGAAGGGGTGGAGGTAGACCTAGATTAGATTACTGCTCGCAAATAGTTAAGGATGTGGGATGTTCCAGTTTTCAGGATAAGAAAGAGCGGAAGTGCGTGTCCAACCAGTCTTAAGACTGACGACTGTGATTGTAAAATTAGATGGATCTTTCACACTTTCGTATTTTTTTAATAAGTATTTAACTGGACACAAATTGGTTTGGTTTGGCTTGACTGTCGCATTCGCTCACCTCATTGACACACCTAACCACGAAAACAATCGTTATCAGACGCTTTTGGTTATTTTGCTGCTCCTCCCGTTGTCGGGAAAGAACAGTCTTACTACTGTCTGATAGGAGTTTTTCGGTTACGTTCAGGAAATGATCGACTGGATGTCATATCTTTCGGTGGTGTCGACGCTGGGCTTTGTAGTATTCTTTGCGGTCGGACCAGGATCCATACCTTGGATGATCACTGCCGAACTTTTCTCCCAAGGGCCTCGACCTGCTGCCATGTCTATCGCCGTGCTTGTCAATTGGATTGCCAACTTCGTCGTAGGAATCGGTTTCATCTCGTTAAAGGTAGGTGTTTTTTATATTTAATAGATGGTTAAAATATGCCGGGTCAATTTGCCCATAACGACTACAGTACAGTTGGGTGAATTTGGTCTTTCGGATAATTCGTTGCTCAAACGGAACGGTGTGGTCTAAGAATTATATAAGAGCGTAGAATTCTGAGTAAATTGTGTTCAAAGGTATTTTTAGGTATGTAACAACTGTCTCTTCCAATAAAGAAAAATATGACATTAACAAAAATGATAAAATTGCCTAAAAATGGTTAAATTTGAGTGAAGTAATTTATTTAACATGTTCCTGGCTGCTTTAAATATTAATTAGAATTTTCATGTTTGTTGAAATCTCTGTCTTCTTCATCCTTTTGTAATATGTTCTCTAATTCTATCTTCTACAGGACGACTCTTTTGCCTCACGTAGGCAACTACTTTACATTATATTGTAGATCGCATATTTCGATTATTTCCCAATTTATCCTTGTTGTTTTTTTGTATGAGATTATTTCAAATCGAGTTATTAAGCTGCATATATTTGGTATTTATTACCTTTTGAAAATTAATTAGAAATTTCAAGTTTGTTGCTGATTTTAAGGCTGTTATTGAAAAGGCGGTCGATGTTTTTGGATTTCCTTTCTTGGATATTATATCTTTTTATAAATTGTTCTCTAATTCTGTCTTCGACAGAACGGCCCTTTTGCCTCACGTAGTTACTTTTGCTTTATATTTTGTGATATTTTAAGAGCGCATATTTAAAAGCGAATTAGTTTTATCAAATATGGTAAATCAAATACCTAGTAGTGGTACACAATTACTATTTTTTTCTGTTCTTTATTCATTGAAGAAATATGAACCAAGGAAGTTAATCTCTTCTACGTGCATTTATTCATGTGTAATTGACCCTACACGTATCATTCGTAATAACAAAACAGGAAAAATTCAAATAATGCCTCGTGCTCAGTAAACTTTCAATATCAAGTCATGCATAACTAATTAATAAATAGTTTTATTTCTCTGGACGTTTACATATAAAATAATGCTTAGATATTCGTTATTGTCGGAAATATTTTTAGCTACTTGAGAACGCGGTAGTTTTTCAAATAATCGGCACATTTCAGGTTCGTACTATTAATTATTATGTACAAGTCGAATATAAATCTGAACGGATTTGTTTGTGATTAACCCTTGTTCATTGCTCATCATGTCAAGGAACTTCGTTCGAAAAGCGGGCTGTTTTGTGTTAATTAAATCGAAACTGGAACCCTCCTTTGCACCGGCTGTCTAATCGCCATTTTATGATTTTAAATGTGTCACCATGAACGCTGACATGCGGCGGTCAATTTCACTTTTGAAAACAAGAGGAAGTTTTAGTAGATACAGTTTATATACTATATATAACACCTGGCAGCAAGTGAAACAATGCGATGTAATTATGCGTTTATTCCTATGTTGGCATTAAGAACAATATGTTGCACGTTTGCAAAAAAGTTTGTCTTATTACAATTACAGCTGTTTCCCCGGAACGAACATAATAATTATGTAGGTATGTCTAAATTGTATATAATTGGGGTGTTTGCGATGGAAAGCTGTTTTTTCAGAGACAACATCCGTCATGAAGCAATTACAAATTTGCAATGCAATATATAAATATACTTCGTTTAGTTTCTGTAGCGATGTAACCTTCAGTTTGACCGGCGCAAAGTAGAAAAGAACAGCACTAGGCCAGAGAAGGAAGGAGACAACTCTCGGCCAAACTCTTAACCGGTGAGGAACGTATGATCTGTACAGTACTGCACGGAAAGATTGACCATTTTATCCACTAAAATTGCATTGCTCAAATCTGCTGTTATTGGTACCAGTTACTATTGAAAATATCAACGAGATGTTTATATTTATATTTGAAGAATCGAGAGTATAATGAGGTTTTTTATCCCTACCTTGGAAGGGGCACATCGCTAGAGAAAGTAAATGAAGTTTTTATACGTACAATGAATAATATACTTTTCGTAAGTTATATTGTTTTTCCGACAGCAGGCAGCTAATTATTTATTTATTAGATATCTGTATGAACCAAAATTACAGATAACTACAACAAAGGGATTAGAGTTTTAATTTCAAGAACTTTAGATGGACAAAACATTTAAAAAAAGCTATAACATGAAAATATTACGTAACCTTTACCGTGGCTTCTTCAAGTGGAAGAATGACAACTTTCTTCTGTAGTAGATAATTAAAAAAGTGCTTGAAGAAACAAAGCAACTTTGAACATTTTACCAAATTTATCGTACCATGTTGACTATATTGTTTCTATTTTATATGATCTTTAACAGAAGAAACAATGAATTCGATGAAATGTTCAAAGTTTTTTTTTTCAATTAAAAACGTTCCATTAAATATGCACTTTAAGCAATTTAAAAATGTATCATAAATTTGTTACTAATAGATCAATTAAGATACTCCATAGGTTTGTCCTTGATTCCAAGTTTCTATTATTTCTTAGTTCCTTACACTAAAATCGTCCTTGAACATTCAATAACATTTTTTCACCTTTGGGTTAAATTTTCGAAATAAAAACGAGATGACAGATACGATTGCATAAAAATATTTATTCATAAATAACAATACTGTCATAGAACAATGCGATGTACAGGGTTCGGTCATAAAATAACGTAAATATAATCTACACTAGCACGCTTCTTTGTCATTATAAAACTTAAAAATTAAACTCTAGACCTAAGTACAATACAATAACACAGACATAGGTGAAAAAGGGATATGAAAAAACGTAAGGAAGTATGGCAAAACAGAGGAGAATGGGGAACAATTATTGTGACGAAATATTAAAAAAAGAAACTTCAAGAATGTGTAGAAAAAATGTGTCGGAAATACGCGTTTATAGCACCTTATATACAATAGTAGATAAAATTTATTACACTTAATTATTAGTATATAGGTACTGGTAATATTGTTTAATTGTTTCTATAAAACTAGAACTGAGGATCTAAAATTGCACTAATTTCACAGGTTAATTATTTATCGTAGTAGAAAGGCATAATTTGTCGTAATATCAAGTACAAACTGTCCAATTACATCAAAATTTATTACGATAGTCCCAAAAAGGTAGAACACGCACAAAACAGGGTCATAACTAGGTAGGTACTAAGAATATACCCCAATTTGATATTATTTGATTGGATACATTTTTTTATAATAGATTACAGTAATTAAAAAGAAAAGCCACGCATCAAATCGCGAGCGATGTCTACTAATTACTTATATTAAATAATTAGTTAGAATTATTTGGTTACCTTATGCCTTCTATTTTTTGTTTCTATTACTTTCGATATTCATCAAACAATTTGTACTGTTCTGGGTAATTAGTGGTTTTAGTGCTTATTTATTAATTTAATAGCCGTGTTTGATGTTTTTGACGATTGCGTTGAAACCGGTGTGTTTGTCGGCACTGTACCTGACGATCCTCTTGGAGCCGTCGGGCTCTAGGAGGGTGTACTCCCCTTCAACTTTATCTCCATCCCGCGTCTCCCATTGACTCTTGATATCGTGAGTGTGAAGATCGTGTACGGCATAGTCATAGTGGTAGCTTGGACGGACCTAAAAAATAGTTTTCGTTTTTTGACTTAAATGTTATTAATTATACTAGGTTTTCCCCGCGGCTTCGCTCGCAGAAATTAATATTGTTTCTCCATAAAACGTTTTAACTCCCAATTCACCCTTACAACGTCTTAATTTTATGTAATGTTGCCATCTTAGATTTCAAACAAACGTAGCAACAGCATTTCATCCTTAAGGGTTGATTTTTAAAAATTGCCAAAACACGTAGTTACTTAATTTCAACAATGGGCAATTTTCGAGTAAATCCGAGTACAAATAAAATATACCCCATGGAAACGCTGCAACCTCTTTTCATTTGATTAATAATATCAAACAGCACATATACCAAGTTTTAAGTATTTTTAACCACAAATAAAGTATGTCCCAAACAAAAATTGCAACACCTTTTTATCCGCCGCCCCCTTTGGAGGTTGAATTTTATAAAATGTCGAGATAGATCTTCTAGAAATTAAATGAGAGACCACCAATACCAAGTTTCGAGTAAATCTGACCACAAATAATGTATGTTCCATTTAAACATTGCAATTCGTCTTCACCACTCCTCCCCCCAAACGGAGATTAAATTTTTTAACCAGTTTCAAGTAAATCGAACCAAAAACAAACAAACAAACCCCTTTCAGCTTCCTAAAGAGGTAGCATTTTGTAAAATGTCACTAATTTTATATGAAAAGGCATTAAAACCAAGTTTAGATTTTAATTGCGCATTCTTCAATGCAAAGTTTGTCACCAACTGGTCGTTCGACAAAGGTTAATTCGGTGTATGTACTCGTTGTGAGCGAGTGCCTCAGGCGACCATCGATACGGCGGTGTCGTTTTCATTACCGGTGCATTCTATGATTACAATTTGCAATAATTAACGATTCGATATTCCATGTGTTCACACTTTCTACCCGCCGATTAGTTTATTTACATATGGTTTCTTTTGTTTCATCGTTAACCCATAACTTGCAACGCGAGAGAGTACGTAAATGAGATAACTGGTCGCTCGTTAATAAATAACAATCGGTGCAGGAGAGAGTGATATTGTTTCTCTTAGGTTTAGGTACCTGTATCGAATAACGGCTGCAATAGTACAGAAAACAATGGGAACAATATTGAAGGTAGTTGTTGCATTCTAGTCGTTTATTCTAACACCAGGAAAAGAAATTTCAAGACGTTTCCTGTTACATATACATTAAGGAATACAATGCGCTTTAATTGTAACTCCTTATTACGTAATATGCCTTTGTTACCGTTATTTAATTGTTGTTTGGACAAAAAAGAAATTATAGAGCATACGTCCACGCTTGTTGCTTTTGATGAATTGTTGATCAAGAACTTAATCCTCATCATTGATCGAATTCATTGAAATTTATTGAATTAGTAAAGGTCATTTTGTGTTGTTTTCTACTTTTTTCCTTGTGGATATTTAGTTTTGTCAAAAAAAATCGGTTGTCTGTAAAGTCGGTTTACTGACGATAGTTGAACGTGACAACGTCATAAGAAAATACTGATGGAATGGTTTCATTTTTCAAAAGAAAATTTTAATTTTATTTGATAGATATTTTGTATGGATATAGAGAAGGAGGTAAATGGAAATGTATTATTGTATAGCAGCTGTCCACGCGGACGCATCGCTCACTCAAGTAGGAGAGAGACAGATGTCGAACGCTGCCGAACGCGGAGGCCGATTGTGCCTCTTTATCGCTCGTTTCGCGCTCTCGCTTGTACTTCAAGCCTTAAATGGAACGCCTCAGAGCGAGGTAACGCCGCATGAGTCATGTTTTTTCGTGCGTGCAGCCGGCTCCATCGAATTATAAGACGTTGTCACGTCAAAAGCAGTTGTCACGTCCACGCAGTCCCATAATTGTAATACGACCTCCAATTCGAGCAGCAAGAGTCCCGAGAAAATTTTAGAAATCTTGAGAAACCAATTCAAACACTCTCAACTGCGATAGCGTCCGATGCACGCCGTGAATATCAAATCGGTCGATTTTGCACGAGAACAACCGGAAAAAGAACATTATGCCCTAATTTAGTTGCCGGTTGCCTCCTATAATTTCCATAATGAATATGGGAAATGCCATTTGTTAAATTGTCTACTAAGTTTCTCTAACCGTTTTTCTTCAGATGGGTTTTACGTGAAAGCTGATGCATTTTTAAATATCTATCCGATAAAATTATCTTTTTATTTACGTTGGCACGTACCTGTTTTTCAAATGAATTTTCATTACAAATTCTTGACATTACATGAAACATCATTGAAATTATTCAGTAGAAAAACAAGTCCGTGGTGAAATTTTTAATTTAATGGTAAGCATAACTACAAGGAAGAAAAAGTAGGGAAAGAGCGAATATAAAGACAGGAGACGAAAAATTAGAAGAAGTGATTGATTTTAGGTATCTAGGAGGTCAGATAGTCAGGACGGAAGGAGTAGTAGGGATATAAAGCAGAGGATAGCGCAGGGTCGAGTCGCCTTCAATAAAAAGAAGTCACTTCTATGTTCGCGAACGTTTAATTTTAAAATTCGAAAAAGGTTGTTAAAGGTGTATGTTTGGAGCACGGTGCCGTACGTGTACGAAACATGGACAGTGGGCGCGGCGGAAAAGTAAAGGTTAGAAGCGTTCAAAATGTGGTGTTACAGGCTAATGATGAGGATACCGTGGATAGAGAAGGTTAGAAATGAAGAGATATTAGAAAGAATAGGAGAACAGAGGACTCTATGGAAGTCAATAAGAAATAGGCGCGATAGATTGCTAGGACACCTTCTCAGACATGAAGGTCTAGTTAAAGACATGTTAGAGGCAGAAACGGGAGTTAGGAGGGGTAGAGGTGGATCTAGATTATATTACTGTTTGCAAATAGTTAAGGATGTGGGTTGTTTTAGTTTTAGGGAAATGCGAAGATTAGCTCAGGATAGGAAAGAATGGAGGTGCGTATCCAACCAGTCTTAGGACTGACGACCTTATGATGATGATGCATAACTACTAACAAAGGGTTATATTTACCATAATATCATCGGTAGGTGTTAGTAGGTACCAAATTTGATAAAATTATGTAATCAAGAAATACTGTTGTTATTCAAAAATTTTTACCAAAATTTAGATCATATTTGATCCTAGAACGGTTTCTTCGAGTTCATTAGTACGTAAAGCCAAAGGTCGCGGGTTTGATTGCCGACAAGGATGTGGCAACATCATAAAATTTTCCCTCACTGACCTGAGGTAGTTTATTATAGTGGGTAAAAAATTGAGAATGAATTTTCACATTAATATTCAAAACGATATTGTATCTGACTTTTTTCTCGATGTCACTGCATACTGCACGTAGTTATGTACGTCTTTATTTCGTAATTCTCTTATAAATTCGTTAATTACCCGTACGATCAGAAGCTTATTAAATGTAAAGGTAACAAGTGTTAGGGCAATTAGCCCGAATGTTAATTGAGTCCTTGGAAACTTCCGGAGTACTTGTTAAATGAACACATGTGAATTAGGTCTATTATTTACACATACATATATATATATACTGTGTGTACGTGTAATACATGCACGCCTTTGCAGTAAACGGTTCTTGATATTGGTAATTAAACGCTTTCATATTTGCGATCTATTAACTGAAGGAAAATTGGACGTTAAAGTGATTTCTTTTTTATTGCGCGGTTTTTATTGCATTACGAAACATTAGGATACGGAAAATACCACAAATGGCGTGGTGAGCGCCATCTGTAGTACGATGCTACATTTTAGGATTACGTATGTTCCAACAAGGTCCATTTAAAAATATGGATATCTACTTGCTGAAACGAATCCCGGCGTAGCTCACCTCAACGTGATAGGCACGTTACCATAATCGAATAAAATAATTCGAAGTGGTCTGTATTCTGTCGAAACTGCCAGACGCGGATCGCGATTTCGATCTTTTTGGATCTCATCAGCGCGTCGCAGACAGCTCCGACAGAACACAGACCAACTTTTACCTGCTGTCTTAACAGCGCGTTTTAGAAAATACCACAAATGGCGCGGTAAACGCCATCTGTAGTACGATGCTACATTTTAGGATTACGTATGCTCCAACAAGGTCCATTTAAATATATGGATATCTACTTGCTGAAACGAATTCCGGCGTAGCTAACCTCAACGTGATAGGCACGTTACCATAATCGAATAAACTAATTCAAAGTGGTCTGTATTCTGTCGAAACTGCCAGACGCGGATCGCGATTTCGATCCTTTTGGAACTCATCAGCGCATCGCAGGCAGCTCCGACAGAACACAGACCAACCTTTACCTGCTGTCTTAACAGCGAGCAGGATACGGGGTTCGTTGTAAAATCCCGATATTACTGTCACCAAAAGATGTACAAATTCAAAAATATATTAGGTCGTAGCCTTCCACGGCCGGTGTCTAATTGATGATGAAGAACTTCTGGGTTTTTCTACCGTGGTCGAATTCTGATTGCAGACGTGAAGCACTGAAGATGCCATCTATTAAGTATGGCGAAACGTCTGCAATCAGAATTCGACCACGGCAGAAAACTCATAAGCTCTTCATCATTAATTCAAAAATATATTTATAACTTACGTGATAATCTATGTATTTTTCGTGATCGTCATGTCCCCCGTAGCTACCTGCGATTTCATTTGATGCATAGCCCCCCAGGCCTGCGTAGCCATCAAAATGCCCGTAGCCAACGCCCCCTCCTAGCGCACTGCCGCTAATGGCTATCACGAGGGTGGCGGCGCATACCTAAGAACAAAAAGATCATATGATGCTGATGCACCTAGAAACATGTTCCTAAAACACGCTAATGTTTGTAAATAGTTTCTACAATTTAAAATTAGAAGAGTTCCAGCAAAAGGGGGGGATGCAGGGAGATGTTTCCCTCCCCTTCGTGTTTATAAATAGTAATGTCACTATAGTATGTAATTTTTACGACACAACAGTGGTGATAAATATGAATTAGACTTCGAAATTATCAGGTTTCCTTCTTGACCGCTCATTGAAGTCTTTTTCCAAATTTTACCAATTTTTTGACTAGTTCTTGAAGACATTGTTCATGTTTGTACCTAAACAGTAATGTCAGCATAGTATCTCATATTTAGTACACAAAATCAGTAACAAAGATGTGCTAGAGTTCGAAGTTGTTTAGTTTTTTCTTGATCTTTCTTTAAATTCAAATTGAAAATGTCAAAACTAATATTAAAAAAGAATTGGTAATCAAAGTTGTCGGGTTTCCTTCTTGACCGCTCGTTGAAGTCTTTTGTCAATTGCTATCAATTCCTTAACTAGTCATTGAGGTAATTGCTCATGTTTGCGCCTAATGATTAATGCCAGTACAGTATGTTATATTTGTGATACAAAAGTAGTAATGAAGATGTGCTTTTATTCGAAATTGTTAGGTTTCTTTCTTGAATTTTCATTGAAGTCTTTTTCCAAATTTTACCAACTTTTTGACTAGTTCTTGAAGACATTGTTCATGTTTGTACCTAAACAGTAATGTCAGCATAGTATCTCATATTTAGTACACAAAATCAGTAACAAAGATGTGCTAGAGTTCGAAGTTGTTTAGTTTTTTCTTGATCTTTCTTTAAATTCAAATTGAAAATGTCAAAACTAATATTAAAAAAGAATTGGTAATCAAAGTTGTCAGGTTTCTTTCTTGACCGCTCGTTGAAGTCTTTTTCCAATTGTTATCAATTCCTTAACTAGTCATTGACATAATTGCTCATGTTTGCTCCTAAAGATTAATGCCAGTACAGTATGTTATATTTGTGTTACAAAAGTAGTAACAAAGATGTTCTTTTATTCGAAATTGTTAGGTTTCTTTCTTAAATGCTCATAGAAGTCTTTTTCCAAATTTTACCAATTTTTTAACTAGTCCTTAAAGACATTGTTCATGTTTGTACATAAACAGTGATATCAGTATAGTATCTTGTATTTAGTACACAAAATCATCGCAAGATATGTTAGGGTTCGAAGTTGTTGAGTTTTTTCTTGATCTTTCTTCAAATTCAAATTGGAAATGTCAAAACTAATATTAAAAATGAATTAATATTCACAGTTGTCGGGTTTTCTTCTTGACCGCTCGTTGAAGTCTTATTCCGAATATCAACTAACTAATCATGTTTATAAACAGTAATACCATTATAATATGTCATTTTTGTGTCACAAAACTGTTGACAAAAGTTAATTAGAATTCGATGTTGTCAGGTTTCTTTATTGGCCGCTCGTTGAAGTCTTTTTTCAAAAGTCATCAGTTCTTTAACTAATCATATCTACAAACAGCATTTTCTCTATGATATATCATTTTTATGATACAAATCTGGTGAAAAAAGTGAATTAGAATTCGATGTTCTCAGATTTCTTTCTTGACCGCTCGTTGAAATCTTTTCTCAAGTATCGTCAATTCCTTAACTAATCATGTTTGTAATTAGTAATATCTGTATAAAATGTCACAAAAATGATGTTAAAAATTAATTGGATTTTAAAGTTGTCGGGTTTCCTTCTTGACCGCTCATTGAAGTCTTTTTCCAAATGTTGCTTGTACATCCCTCGGGTCAATTTACCCTTATCGCAAAAAATTTAATCATATGCAGAGTCCTCTTTACTATTACATTCCGTGAAAAATGTTATTTAAATCTTTAGTTTACTGTCGACTTCGACCGTTTAAATTGACTCTGCTATGGACATACAAACGTTTAACAGTTTTTATTTTGTTACAAAACATGATCATCGTCAATTATTCTATGTATTTACTGGTGCCGTAAATGAACTGATGTTTAGTTTAAATTAATTTGTTCTTGCTAAAAATGTTTCTTTTACTGAAATTTATTAACCAAAAAAGTGCAGCATATTATGCATAAAGATAGTGACAAAGTAACCGACGAAATTAATTATACCATCCTAGGAAGGTTGCATCTGGAGGATATGCAAAGTACTATATTCTCTTATTGCGTTTCACTCAGACTCTAATTAAAAGCTGTGCGTCATCTTAATTAAGTCTTTAAATAAACAGGGCACTTTAAGATTAGCACTGTGTGCGACGGACAGTAATGTATTCCGTGGAGGTTAACTGATTTTAAAAAGTTAATACTTTCTAAACATAAATGCAGTAGAACTATCTTCGCATCTCTGTTTCTTTCGACGATGTTAAACGTGCAAAAGCTCCATTAGATTAACTTAATTACGACTCGAGCGCTTATTAAATCGTTAAAAGTGGAAATGGTTTTTAATTTACAAATATTAAACTACCGTAAAGAATTTTACCAACTGAATAACAATAATATAATAAAATCTAATATTCGTGAAAACGATGCTGCTTTATATGTTCAGTGTAGGGACCGATTTCGAACTTATTAGTTCTTATTAGCACATCAACCGAACGGCTTGGTTAAGTTAGGTAAATATGTCATTATAAAGCATTTTTAGAGACATCAGTTGTACATGAAACCAAGCAAGAGACTTTTTTTAACCGTGATAAATTAATATTGATTTAGAGGAAAATCGACACAACTACAAATTTTCCTTAGTGGGGACCTTTTTAACTCAAACATTATAGTAGCTTCAGTTTAATTTTGCCAGTTTTGGATTATAAAGTTAATGTTGTAAGTCTTTTACTTTATTATTTATTACTGGAACAATGAATTTACTAACCCGTATTCCTATCACAAGGAAGAGAAAGATACCCTTATCTCTCTCGGCTACCCGCAGGTATCGAACGCTGCAGGTACTTTATAAAATTTGTCTATCTCTATCTCTCTATTAAACAGTTTGTAGAGTTCTCTCTGTTTTCATGAATCTTAAACAGTTTACAATGATTTTCAATAAAGTGATCAAAATTAATTAAAACGTGCATAATCCAATTAAAAAATTAATAGGAAAGAGTACAGAAGTTTTTATTGGGGTAGTTTAAGCTAAATGTATTTATACCTTGCTTACTTTTATTGTACCTTGCTGGTCTTGACAATTAACTGTTTACTTACTTTAAATTAATTGAATAACATCCTTATCTTATGACATCAATAAACAATAAAACCAAATATTCTTGAACGAAACGTGGATACTCTCTAGCGGGAAATTTTTCGAAATTTTGTTTGAATGTGAACCCCTTATAGTAGGTAGGTATACGGATTAGTAGATTTGTTGTTCCAATATAAATAATAAACTACCTAAAGGATTTAGAATTTTGATTTTATAATCCAAAATGTTGTTTGAAACATTAGATGTAATACAGAGGATTAACACACACATAAAACGTGAATTTTGTGCCTTTATTTTGAACGATTTACCGAAATTTCAATAATGAGCTTAAAAAAATGCTCATCCTGGTATATTAACTACACGTCCTTCAATTCCTATCATATTAGCACCAATTTTTGTCTCACTTTTTTTTACACTTTATTAGTTACATACTTTCGTGTACACACAATCGCACTGTATATAGATATGATTTACTTACAAGGTATCTGTACATAGCTTTGGTTGGTAGTTTTTTGTAATTATTTAGAAGAACAGAACGACACTGAGCCCTGCCTGGCGCCGTTACCGTTTTATAGATACGTAGTTGGCTGTGAAAGGGAGTAGTAGCTTTTGTCAAAATCCCACTTCAAAATTGGACTTGAGAGTTATGGACAAACCATTACTATGTACCTAGTATTATTGCACAGTGCACACCTCCAGCCGTTTCCGCTGAAAATGTGAGATTGCTTTCCCTTGATCTTCGCGATTAGTTTGGTTTCATACACGCGCCAAGAACTGATGGACGCGTTTCCAGATCCGTACTGCGAAATATTACAGATCGTAGTCAAAAATTAAATAAGAACACAAAGAATTTCTACACACAAAAAGCGCGAATATTAAACATTTACTGGCGTTGTTTACAGCTTGTTATGTGCTCGTTCTTCTTTTTCGTTTTCTTTGTTAAGGTGGCGGACTGTTTTATAAAACTGAGCAACATTTAAACAGTGTTAAAAATAATGATCTTTAATTTACTAATGATACAATTTTTAAGCACCTGACCAATTGATAATCAACTTTATAAATAAGTAGAGACTACTCAACTGATCACTATGAAATTTTGTACACACATTTTGAGGAGTACAGATTAGGACATAGGGTACCTTTTATCCAGAAAAGCAATACTGTTCCCGGAGGATAGAAAAATTAGTTTTATGCGGTCGTCGATGATCTTTGACTCGTATTTAGGTTATCAGCGCGAGCAAAGCTGCGACTAAAACCTACTTTTTAGGTATCTAAAATGAAACCAACACTAAAATCCTTCAGTAGTAGTCCTTTTACAGTGCCTAATAGTCCTTCACAACTCACCCTATGAGTTTTTAAGACCTTATTACTAAATGATAATAACACCTACAGTAAATTTTTAAAATTTCGGAAAGTTCAGTTTCATATACATGCACCTACCTATTAATTTTATTTGAAAATACATTTTAGTTCAGTAACTTTCCCACAAATAAACAATTTACATTTGCAATTCATGTTAAGGTTAATCGTAACGCGCTGTTTTCCTATTAGTCAATTCTTTATCTTTTGACAGCTGAGTTATTACAAAGTGAAACTCTAATTCTTTCGTGTAACTGTTGAAACGACAAAACGCTCTGATAATTAGCCAAGATCATGGTCAGTTAATAATTTAATAAAAAATTATCAACCTCGATTAAAATAATATGCAAACCGTTTTGAAGTGCAACCGCAACTTTCATACATAGAGGTATAGGTAAGGTCAGTATAAACAGTCAGCTAAAAGAATTGCAATGTACCTATAGTTAGTTGAAAATCTCATGGGTCTTCACATGTGCCCCTCTAAACAATTAGGAATGTAGCCTCAAATAAACTATAAAAGCCAATGTTTGTTTCAGCAATTCTCAAAATCTTCAGCTCTTTTTAGAGGGGTAGGGGGTCGTTTTTGTAACTTCTTTTAAATGTTGACAGAATTTTATTTAAATTATGATGAATACATTATTACATTCCTACATATTAACCTGACGTTTAGTCGAAAGACATTTACGTAATATATATTCGAAAAAATTGCTGTTTTCAAAACTACCTAGCGAATCATGTAGAGGCAATTAGGAATCTCGCGGGCTATGACCTTGACTGCCCGGTAGCAAAATTTTGCCTGTTCTGTATTTCATATACCTTCTACCTTCCTGTGTTTCTCGTATTTTGTGTCAAATGCCTCTGAAAGAGAAATTAATACCTCTATAACCTACGACAGTAATTGAGATTGTACAACATCAAAACGAGGTTATTTATGAACCAAATAATAATTAATAACAGATAGACTTCCTTCATTGGAATTAAATTGCGGTATGGGCAGACAATACACGTCCTTATTAAACGTGTGTGGGTGAATGATGTTGTATTCCACGTTTGTAATGCGCATTTTATATATTCTTCCTGATTCGGTGTGGTGCGTACGTTTCAAAAAAGCATGGAAACCAGAGCAGAGTTGCAGTTGAGACCGCGTTACATAAGAGCGAAACTGCAACGCAAAAAAAAAACACATTTGTGTACGTTCTATATCTCCGTGTTTGTGCTATCCATACTATCCATCGTGGACGGAGGGGCTTGACTTTGCATGTGTGTGACTGCATACAGTGCGGAACAAAGGTCACAAATATAAGAGCGAATCTTCTTAAATGACCAATAAATGTATTAACCTAAGAATGCTGCTGTTTGGCTATCGGTAAGACTATAAGGTTGCTGCAGAAAAAGGCAACACTAACGAAGTGATTTTAGATAATCTATTTAATCTATGTAGATATCTGATAATACTGCTAACTTGCGCATGTGTAAAAGAAGGACTGCGGTTCAGGTTTTAGCCGCTCCTTACGAATAATAAGGGCAAAATATAAGAAATAAAAGAGATGAGAGTGAAGTAGGAGAAAGTTAAAGTATAGGAATGATTGTAATAATGGCTACTTATTATGTCTTCCATTATTTCCTTATAATCAATATAATTGTTAGATCAGGGCTTAAAAAAATGGTATCCTCTATCCAATGGTAGTAGATAGGTAAGAGTAAATGAAAATGATCCTTCAAAGAAAATTCATAGGATTTTGATCCTGATCGATTGATTCATAATAAACTACTAATTGTAGTAAGTTTATGTACCTTTTTTTGATACTATTAATGCCGATAGCTACTCATGTCTTTTGTGACACACTGTATATTAATGTATCTATTATGTAGTGCACAAGCAAGAGCACTTATACAATATCACTACTGAATCACTGAAGCGCAACGATGTGTCCATTCCGAAGCATTTCTCTGCGAGTAGCCATTTATATACTACGTATAGGTACATATGCATGTGTATTACCTAATTAGTTCGAAAAAAAAAAAGATTTTACACAGGTCCGGAATATCTACCGGAAAGGATAATCCAGTTGATGAGATGGTACTTAAACTGGGCGTGGAGCATTGGTCAAAATTTGCTTGTCATTTGAATTTTACGTAAAATCATTGCAGACATGGGATACTTTGGATATATACAGGGTGGCCAAAAACCTCTAGATTTATACATTAGATAATTTAGCATATGCTTGAAAATTTGAAAGTGAGCTCATAAAGAATTTCGAACGTCGCCAAAAAATAAATAAATATCATTCCAATGATTTTTTAATAATTGGAACCAATAGATCCCAAAGGAAATAATCCTATTGGTAGTTATTTATCTTGTGAAACATCAGTAATGCTTCTCCCATGCGATTGGGTCTTTTTTGTTATCCAGATAAGAGTTTAAATCAAGGTGGTACATAGTTGTTGAATGATCATGATGCGGTAGCGTGGACGTTAGCTCCTATTGTGGGAAATTTTATTGTCTTCCTGTAAACTAATGACATGCTTATTTGGAGATTGTTAGAAAGATGCAGTTTCACATCGCAAAAATTCTTTTAAACTTAACGCGAAAGAAAGTAAATTTATTGTTGTTTAATCACCTCATTACCTTCTCAGAAGCAAACAGATCACAGAAAAGGCAATCGAAACTTGCATTTATAATATATTCGGTAATTAGGCGGCAGGAATTTCAATCTTTTTTAGATGAATATTTCATCACAAATATCAAATTAAGAGTGACATTTGGGGCACTGGGAACTTGAAACCTCTAGTCGCAGAATAAACCTTTTTAGGTGGTAACATAATGTGGCCTTGGTGACCCCATACAATTAGTTGCAATGATCAACAAATCTTATAAAGACGTCTCCTTGGCACGCCAATTAATAGCTGCAAATGAACTAATTGAAATATCGTAATTCAAATTAATGATGTCTTATTACGATAAGATAATAATTGCAGCGTTTCTAATATTCAGATTTATTCCAATAAGTCAAATAAATTTATTTTTCGTTTGAAAACCCGGCTTTCCCTTCGTTAATTTATCGAAATATTAACATCTCCTTATTTGAGAATAAATGAATATGATAATTCCTTGCAACCGTCGCACAATTTTTCACGAAACTGCTCATTTTAATAGTGAACATCTACAAGAGCTCTCACTTCGTCGCTCGAATAGGAATGCGACTTGAATATAATCAGACCGTTTTTTTATCCCTGTGCTATCTGTTAATTGTTCGTTTTCATGCAAGGACTTTAAATAAGCAGATGACATGTATTGCAGATGTTTTTATTATGCGATGCACTCAGGCTTGCACTTTTTTTTAACTTCCTAGCGAGTAGAATAAGAATTAGGAACTTTGTATTATGCGAATTAATCGAACTTCAGTCACGCATCTTCGCGGTTCACGTGGCACTCGGTACGGTAATAATTCACAGTAGTTCGTGTTACTTTTTCAACTAGCCTCTTGGTTGCATTATAATTACCACGGATAATTAACATTGTTAAGCTTAATCGCGCCGATTTAAACTAGCCTCACCATATGATAAATGCCGATGTTACACATTGATGTAAGAGGTCTGTTCAAAAAGTATCAAGAACATTGTGTTTTTTCAATAATCAATTATTTATTCATGAATATCCATTTTGTCTTCTTCAAACTAATCCCCACTAGATATTATACACTTGTGCTACGTTTTTTTCAATCTTCGAAGCACTTCAATGATCTAATTCAGCTCGTTCTTTGATGCCGTCTTTATCTCCTTAATCCTAGCGTAGCGTTGTCCTTTCATGGGTCTCTTCAGCTTCTCGAACAAGAAAGAGTCACAGGGGGCTAAATTCTTCGCGTTAATTGCGCATAACTTGCAGATAATATTCATTATTGACCGTTCTACCCTGTGGCATGATGCCCCACGCCTGTGCAATCGAAGAAAACTGTAATCAAAACCTTCACATTCGATCTAACTTGGTGCGCTTTTTTCGGTCTTGGCGGTCGTGGCTGCTTCCATTGGGATGATTGAGCTTTGGTTTCCACGTCATAACCATAAGCCCATGATTCGTCACCAGTTATGACCCTCTGGAGCAAATTTGGACAGAATCCAAGACAGAGCTTCTTAGCAATGTTAATGCGATACAATAAACGATAAATTTCTTCAAAGTATTTCGTATATATTAGGTATTACCCATAACTTTTCACCGTGTATGCAACAACGCGAAATAGAAAACTCACAAGTTTTTTTTTATGTAAAAATTTCATAATGGGAGCAACAAAAGCAGAAAAAGAGAAAATAATTATTACACTATACATTAAATTATTT